CCCCAAAACCCCAAAACCCCAAAACCCCAAAACCCCTTCCAAAATGTTGAGGATTGAAAGTAGACATTAACCATTAATAACTTTTGAGTGTTTCATGGCTGTGGAATACTTCTTCCTCCACAGGAGAGTAAGAAGGATAGCCTGAAGAGCAATAGGTCTGGATGCCAAGGTTGTTTTTGTCCATTCTGATCCTGAAGAAGCCATCTTCACCCCAGTAAGTACCGAAGGAGTTTTGGACAAGCCAATAGTCTAGTCCGGTTTCCTCGTCAGTGCCGTAGCCAATAATGTTTACTAGATGATTTTCGATCGGCAAGAATACCTTCTCTTCGTATATACCAGAGGTGTAGTTTTTAAATTTTGGAGTTACCTTCATTCCACATGTAATAGGGCCAAATAATACCAGCTCTTTCTTGATGATATCTGTATCTGTGAAAAGATTGAATCCAGAGGTATAATGCTTCTTATAATCTTCGACAGGGTTACAAGTATCTACTCCTTCTTCCTCAGCGGAGGGGATAGGTCCTTCGCATGATCTACATTTATGAATTGGTTCACAAGGAGGCATTCCTTTCGGATCAATGTTTCTAGCAACGTATGGAGAACAGGATTCATCTCCAAGTCCGATTCTTTGAAGTTTTCTAACAACAGCTACTGGATTTCCTCCCCAACAGGATCCACCGATATGGCAGTATGTGAGAATTTGAGGAGATAAAGTCGTCTGTTTTGCACTATAATCTTTGTTCACCTTCCAGTTTAGAATATTAAATCTAGCTGAGAGTGCTGAAGTTGAAGCATGAGCCCAACAGTTTCCACAATAGGTAGGGTTATGCTGTTGCTTAGTCCATGACATGTAGTTAACTCCTTCAACATCCCTCCAATCCCAAGTTTTTGGGAGATCTTCGGTTTTAGTGGTAAAGAATTCTGCTGGTACGTTCACCCCTCCAAGTTCTTCTTCACCGAAATAGAAAGTGTTGTTTGGGTTCATTTGTCCGTATGGCCCATTAGTAAAGTCATTTCTTGGATCATTCTTTTCTTCCTCTGTGGTATAGTGCCATTCCTGCTCATTGGTAAAATCCTGAGGGACTCCAAAACTACAGTCAGATTCAATTTGAAGGTTATTATTACCTCTGCTGATTTTGATGTATCCATCCTCTCCCCAGTAAGAGCCCCAGGAATTTCTAGCAAGCCAATACTTTTGGCCATCTTCAGTTCCATATCCAACAATTGATACAGAGTGGGATAAGGTATCAGCTCCGGTTAAATCTTCAAATATGCCATTTTTATATGTCTTAAATTCGTCAGTAATGGCCATATTGCAGACAATAGGACCTCTTTGATAGATCTCTTGCTTCATATTCTCCTCGCCTGAGACCCTTCCGTATTCGGAAAGGCGATAAATCTTGTATTTTTCTGGCATGTAGCACGGTTTTCCTCCATAACAAGTTCTGCATATAACACCAGGAGAGCACTCGAGACCATTGGTGTGGCCTCTTCCTTGGTACATTGTACAGGTTTCATCGGTTAACTCATTTTCGTATCCGTATTTGAAGGCAGAAAGAGGGTCTCCTCCATGGCATCCTTGGTCACTATCAGATCAGGAAAGAAACAATTGCGGGGAGATATTTACATCGCTCCCTGTTGCATTCAGCATGATCTTGATCCTATCTGAGATTGAAGAAGCTGCTGCTTGCGCCCAGCATCCCCCACAATGAATTGGAGCACGGTCATTTCTGACAATAGTCAGAAAGTTTTTGAGGTGGCCTGAATTTTGGGTCTGAGGAGTACCATCTCCTTTATAACCACTGAAGGAATCCCATCTGTGCTCCTCAGGAATATTGGCAATATGCTTGAGTGGAGTAATAATTCTATCTTCGATTTCTTCTTTAGATTTCACATAACATCCCTGAACTAGAAGCAAAGATGCAATAAAAACTATGAAAACTTGGAGAGCAGAGAACTTAGCCATTTATTTATAAACTCTTAAATTTGCAGGACTGAAAGGGGTTTTGGGGTTTTGGGGTTTTGGGG